GTATAGAGCCTACTTTCAAATAGTATCGAGAAATGTGGTTTTAATATTGGAAATCTTTGTAATAGACTTAAAATATATGTTCATATTTATTTATAAAGTTTAAAGCTTCAAAAATAGTATAGATCGACAGATCTGTAAAACCTTGAAAATCTTGAAAATTGACGGTCCAAATATATATTGCAAAATACACTATTTTTAAAACTTGAAATCCATTTTTTTCTCATCTCCATGCATCTTGATGTCATCAAGATAATCGATTTGAAGATATTGTGGTATCAAAACAACCCCTTCTGGTGAAATTTTTTAGGTGGGCTTAAATTTGATTGTTTAAAACCTCGGCCCTATATAAACTTGGCCATATATATATAAACCATGTCATATAGTGAAATATATTTTTATACTAAAGCATCTCAAGAGTGCATTTTTTGTTTTAAAAAAAAAGCTTTCGAAAGGGATCTGGATTCATATGGCCTTTTCTCTCTCTAGCATGGAGTTTTAATTCATAGCTAAGTCACCCATTAGAGGCCTGGCCTACCTACATATCTTTCTTAATTTATAGCTAGAATACCCCACACATGTTTATTTGATAGAGTCGGTAGATCTCAGCCAGGTGGATTTTTCTAATTGTCGCATCGCTCAATTATGCAACTTATTTTATTTTATCCCTCTTTCGTGCCAAGTGTTTGTGCGGTAAGTATTATTTAATTATTCTTCTATGCCATATCGCGATTCCTACCTGAATGAATGTAGAACAAATCTTGGACATAAACATTTAAGAGAATGAAAAAGTGAATCTTGACCAGCGTTAGACAAACCGTCCAATCCGGATCCAAGAGGTTTTTTTTGGAACCATCCCATGGGCGGGTCCGATTAAGTTAAATTTTGGTTTCCCGTTCTAAAGTTTGAAAATTTTTTATAAAAATTTATAAAAAAAAGTAAGAGTTAAGATTTGTTTATCGCGTATTTTTATGTGTTTTCTATTATTTTGACAAAAATTGGAAAATATTTAAACCATTAATACTTATTTTTATTTTGTTTTATTTTTTCTAAGAGACCAACAACTTGATTTTTAAAACTCTATGTCAATACTTTTTTAACCTCAACCCGACGCATGCCAGTTACTCAATCCAATTCCTGGTTACCTGACCAGCCCATGGCCAGGTTCCACAGCCAAGTCATGGAATCCTACACTGATCTTGACATCGCCCACTATTTTTAGAGATTAATTTCCAGTTGTTTCCAAAAAAGAGAGAATAACCGAACATTCAAAATTTTATAAACGATTTAAAATGAAAAAAAAAGATATACAATGAGACCATTTATCTTTGATACCAGATGGTTGAAATTAGATGGCTGAATTATTCCATTAAACAAGCTCAAAACTTCAAAAGAGATTTTCTCGAAACTTTGTGACACACTTAAGCTATCAAATTTCACATCGCATGGTAATAATTGCGCCCTTCATGTATCAAAAGGTAAAATAGTTTCATTGTATGACACCCCAAAATAAAATGGCCCAATGCCTCCTCATGCTATATATGCATTGATAATATTTTTTTTTTTTTAAAAAAAACACCGCCGAAGCATGGTGTGACATCCTCGTACTAAAATAACCCAATATCTCGTGATGCAAACAAAAACATCAGGACTTCGGGGCATGATGTAAACAAGAATATTACCTAAGTAAGAATATATTTTTTATTTTCAACACCAACAAATTTCCATTTCTTATTTGTCAAATCACAATATTCATCTAGGTGAGTTTTATATAGGGTATACCCCAATATTATGCCAAAAAAAATGAGTTTGGGAGCTTAAAAGCCTCGCGACTGTAAAAATTTATTGCCATCTCTAATTATGAGGTTCAAAGTGTCAATAATCGTGAACACTTGCAAATTTTGAAAATGAATAGTCTAAATAATGGGTTAAAATATTAAAAAAAAAGTTTATAGAGAATCGAGGGTCTAAACCATCAAATCAGAGCCCACCTTAAAATTTTCATTAGAAGAAGTTGTTTTGATGCCTAAATATCCTCAAATTAATCAGCTCGAGATCAAGATGCATGCACATGAGCAAAACATAGATTTCAAGTTTTGGAAATAGCACATCTTGTAATGCATTTTATGTTGGGTTTATGTAGCCTTTAAAGGCTTTATGAGTGCTTGTAAAATAAAATGATATAGTGGAACATGAACTCAGGGGGAGTGTGGTCCCTCGTGGACCATACTAAGCAAACAATGTTTACAGATACATGACTGTACTTGACAATCTAGGCCAGTCGGTTGGAAAAAACTCATGTTATCTGGGCATAAAGAACAAACCAAGAATGATTCTAATAAGTTAGCCCTTGATAAGGTCGGAGAATATGCCTAGATGAATGAGCCCAGGGACTGTGTGACCCTTGTGTGTGATGGTGACCTACAGAGACAAGGGCCAAAGCCTCATCCATGTACCATCACAAGGTATGCATATCGATATATCGTTCGAAAAAGCCAGAAATCCACCTTTTAGGGTGAAATGTGTGCATATGCGAGAGATACCCCTGTGCACTATATGAGCTATTGTCGCACCAAGTCTAGGAGACAATGACTCGCCCCTAGGGGAGGACCTGAAATCTACAGACTGGGATTGCGATCCCTTGGCTCATCGGCCGGACTTTGGTGACCCGCTAATGAGCCCCTCCTTGGACTATGAGTCATGGGAAACACTGGGCCGATCTGATATAGCAAGTGTGGTCTGTAGTCCACAGTTGAAGGTGAAGTGCCCCGTGATTGTTGATTCCTAAACCATATGGATCTTTTTCCCATCAAATTAATTTAATAGTATTTGTTTTATGATGTAAATTATTTTAAGATTATTATTTGAATTTTTATGAACCGCTGGATATTTTATTTATAATTTTTAGATTTATAAAATTAAAGATATTGATTTTACAATTATTTAAATATTCAAATAACATTCTAAAATCTTTTTTTTAATTTTAAATATATAAAAATATCATGGGGGACCATTGTGCACAAGGGCCAGCCATATTTTTAGAAGGTGGGGCCCATGAATGACTCCCTTGGGTGGCACACCCCACCCTTATTCTATTTCCTATTTTTTGGTAATAGGGCATGTGGCCATATGGTTGGAAGATATTGACTAAATATTGATTTGATATATTTTTGAAAGACTTTGTGGAAAGATTGAGTAGACTTGTGCTATTTTATGATATGCATAATATTTTAATTAGATTTAATTTATTTAATTTCCATTGATGAGAAAGTGGTTTAGGAAAGGGGGATAATGGTTCATGCACCTTCCATAATGTTGATGGCCCATCTATGGAATTTATAGCTCAGAGTTATCACCCCACAAGTCACCTTTGATCGACGGTCTATGTTCAATC